CTGAACCACATTTAAGTGATTGTTTTGTTTATTTACGTTTTAAAAACAAATGTAATTTTCAATTACACAACATTTGTAGCTGCATGGCAACGGTTATACACCCTCTCCAATCTTATTGACGCCGATCATCAATGCAGCTGGAGGCTCTCCAGAAGCCAGATATACAAACGAACACACATCCTGTCATTTGAAAGTGGAGCAGACAATCATAATTTTAACCCACACATGGTTGTGTATAAAAAGGGTCCAAACATTATAATATGACCTAGTAAAAGTAGAAAGAATCATTACTGCATGCGCTGTGTAATATAATTTTCGCCTAATAAATGGGTTTGTAAACTTTTTTATTCAATCTTAAATAAATAATTTTTTTTAATCATACAATGATAAGTAATATATTTATTTCAGAATAAGTACTAATCTGAATGTCAAAATAATTAATGGTCATAATAATAAGCATTTCAAAGGAGATTACAATGCACGGAATGAAGAATGATGAAAAATTATTAGTAGATAATATCGGGAATAAATATTTAATCATGAGTCTTTGATATATTTGTTATAAAAAGGCATAGATGGTTTTAAGAGTGCTTAGATAAAAGTGCCGCCATCTACACATGCGCTAATTGATTCGATGATAAATGCATTAATCTTGCTTGTATACCTCTTAGAGTCATGTTGAAATTTTTAATAAACATTCTGATTGATCAACCTGCAACTTATTTAAGTTAACGTGCATTAAAATACATTTAAATTTCATTACAAGTTGTTACTTATTTAATTATATTTAAATTATTAAAAATTGATATTAAAGTACTAACATCTAATTAATGATACTATTCAAAACCATTCCTTAAATTATTCGTTAAACTCTACTTAATGCTCAAAATTGACGCGTAGAGATTGAATACGCTAGCATTATTATAATAACGCAATGCGTAATTATTAAAAAATATCAAAAATGATTTCTGAGCATATGCAGAGACATTATTGTATGATATTTCGAACGTTACATCATAATAATGCTTACGTTAAAAACTTTGAATAAGACCCCTGCCACATTTCTCTACGGAACGCGCGCATTAAAATATATAGTATACTAGATACGACAGCAAGTAGATCCTTGGGTCAAATAGAGATAAAAAATTTGACATGGAACAGCTAAATAACACACTTTCTATGGCAAATGGCGTGCGAAAGGATGGTTGGCTTAGGAACCTGAAGAATTGTAGATTTGCTCGCCTTTGCGTATTTTGACGTCAAATCGCTATAGCGATCAGACCCCAGGGGTCTTATTCAGAGTTTTTAACACAAGCTTTATTGTGCTGTAACGTTCGAAATATCAGAAAATAATGACTCTGAGCATGCTCAGGAATGATTTTTGGTATTTTTTAACGATTACGCATTGCGTTATATTAGGATCATCACGTAAAATTAGGATAAGGGGGAGTAAGATAAGATGCACTTTACGCAAAATAATTCGTCATAGTGCAAATGGCTAGAAACATACTTGCGTCAGTGTTTTTAAACCAATCACAGCTAGTATTACCTTAACGTAACACATGCTGTCTCGCTCCCACTCATGGCAAAAATAAAGTAACGTGCATATTTTCTTATACATGTGCACAATGACAAAATGTTTCGTGTAAAGTGTAAACAAAATGAGCTACCTGTGAATACAGTCGGCACCTAATGTCAACAATAAAACTTAAGTGTTGATTGTATGATTAATTGGATTTTTGACATGGATAAAGAACCAAATCGTAAGATCTTGAGGTAAATTGTGGAAAGTCCATACGACCTATGCAAAGGCTTCGACACCTTTTCTACATGACCACATCTGGCGTATACGCGATACAAATCCATGTGCTTGCATCCTAAGACAAGCTTCATTACTAACACACTACTAGCATAAAAGCAAGCTTCCGTCTAGTGACATCGCATCAATCATCAGTGTATTGACTACAGTAGTAGGCGATGGAGCGTCTTTCAATATGCAACAAGAAATAAGTGTGTAAGCGTATGTGACAGACGTGAGCGTGACACTAGAAAGGTGTAATCAGCGTAGACGGTAGAAAGTTGTTTTGAAATTCTTAGAAGAGTTGATGAAAGCCAATAGTCTTGTACTGGCCAACCTAGTTGCACATCATGACATGGTTTTAATTTTAGTTTTTTTATCCATGCAATATTTTTCACAATTGTTCATTTATAAAATACTAAAATATTAATTAAAACCACATTTAATTACCGAATATTTTCATTGAAACGGTAACTGCACTACCTTCAAAACATCGCAGTAGGTAAATTGAAATATCTTTTATTAGAAAGTGCTTCCATTCATATAGTGTATACTAGCAGCCCCCGTCTCGGCTTCGCCCGAGACTTACTAAATGGAACACTGTAGTGTGTTGACATGTAATGTGAAACGTTTTCAGTTAGAAATTTTATATTTATTCCTGACACTTCTCAAAACAAAAATTTTCTTATTGAAAACATATTTGTTCACAATCCAAACAGTTTATTTGGTCAAACAATAAGCTGTGAAAATTAAAAAAAATATAATTATGTTGAAAAGTACCGTGCGTTTCTTATGCCATAAAATAATCTTTGGCTATAAGGAGCCTTTAATATGCAGTTTCTCCCGTATAATTTACGAAAAGGGCGCTTCCAATTTAAACTCTTGCAACTATTGGCATGCTTACGACTTTTCTGATCCCTAAAGGCTGTTTTCTGTCAACTTTGTGAAGTTCTAATATATTTGTTGGCAAGGTAGTTCGATATCCGATTGCCCTAAAAAAGACCGATGAGTTTCTTAAGTAAACTCTTTCTTGACTAAAGTTTACAGCAACTGTGACCACCTGGATACCTCAGGGTGATCTTCTCTGGCCTGCTGTTGAAGCCTCAGACTGATCGGGAGAAAAATTACCAAGATCGAAGCTTTGGAGCTTGTTGTAGTGATCTTTCCCAACGTCTCCTGATATAACGTCGAAGACGTTGGTGTCTAAAGCACCTTTTTTTTGCAGACTCAGTTGTTTTAATGATATTAGGTGGAGAGATTGGTTCATGATACTTGCCCGTTGGAGACTCCTTGTCGGCTCAAGTTTTTTTTTTTCTTCATAGCTGTTAGGTTCGCCTAGCGCAGACCTTGGAGAGGATCAGTGATCGAGGATCAGTGATCCTGGTTGAATGCTAAGGGTCGAGAGGGTAATATAGGGTTGTTACTAGGGTTCCCAGCCTTGCGAGGAACAACTCTGCTCGGGACGTCTGGCAGTAAATGACTGACTTGGTTTAATAGTGGCTGGCTTTATGTAGTCTTTTAGTCGACGAATAATGCTTTTGGAAATGGTAGTAAAAATGTATTTGTTAGCAAGGTAGTTGAAACTTAGGTGGCCCTTAAAAGAACCGATGAGATTGATAGTTAAGTAGTGCACGTAAATACTAATATTGGCTCTGAAAAAGGCCAGTGGTGAAATTTCCAGTTACTCCTTCTTATTATTCTTGATGATGGAGAGCCAGCTACGGTTAGCTTGACTCGTACCCCCGGAGTCTCTGTGTACGGAGATCGTACATGAGGGAGATACACCGCTGACCAAAGAATATCTCGTTTTCAGATCATTCTCCGGATAACCAACCACTCATAGTTAGTGGAAAAAGTGGACCTGGAGAATACCTTCTCTGTATAGGTATGCCATATTGGAACGACCACTAAGAAGTTGGCCGCTGTGACTGCCCGTACTCTTCAAGGCTGTCTTTCGTGGCTTAGATTTGTAGTAAGAAATTCTCTGTCAGCACCAGGCCCGATTGTGGTACGGCCACATAACTCTGAAGTGTTAGAGCAGGTTGTGCTCTGGCTAGACACGTTTCCTGGTATTCCACCGGAGACGTTATGGGATAGAATAAATTTTTTATTGGTGGCAATCGTCAATCCTGGAGGTTCAGGGTGAAAGTAGACCTAGATCACTTGCTCATTTGAGAAGAGCGTCATCGGTCACCGGGATACCCAGCTACATGACTATCATCTACATTCCCGATGCAGCTCGGTGACTTGCTAGTAATCGGTGGCAAAAATATCTCAGATGCTCCGGCCTATTATAACCACACTCATTTAATTCTGTTGCAGGTAGCTTCAATTTTATGTCGACGCCACGTAGCGGATCCTACTAAACTAATGTGAAAAGCTGTCGTATTTTTGCAAAACTTTGAGCTTATTTATTGCTACTGTTATTAAATTTTTCTAACATGAAAACCATACTAAAACCATCTTAGAAGTATCAAGAATCGGTATGCAAAATTTCAGCAAAATCGGTTCAGTAGTTTTTGTGGTAGCGATTACAACGGTTTTAGTGACTTTGCTTTATACATCAGTAAGATCATAGAAGTGTACCTTCATACTTAGTAGGTATCCGAGCATCTACTGGCAACTAGTTTTCTTATGATAAATAGAAAAATTATGTTTAATTTATACTAGAAACAATATTTTAGTGGCTTGAAAATTTTATTTTCACCATGTTTTCAGCATACATAGTTTTTGTCGATTTTTCCAGCTATGCCCAGATTACCCTGAATCAGTATTTTCCGAGTGGCGGTGGAAAAGGCATCAGAGAGTTTTTTTAAAACGGAAAATAGAATATTTGATGGAATCTTTTATTTCGCAAGTTGTAAAAAAAAAAAAAAAAAAAAAAAAAAGAATCTTGTACCGTAAAGTATATGTATTTAAAGTTTTACATATAAAAGGTAAATTTTACAATTTTTGTTGATTTTCTAATGTTTGGATATTGTTTACTATACTTTCTGATGTGGATCTTGTTTAAAGACAATATGAAACTTTCGGCGGTATTCCAAGATGTAGTATATCTCATTTTAGATTAATAAGCACAGATATTTATTTTATTAAGAGAAAAATGCAGTTTATTGATGTATGCTATTTATATTTTTAAACTAATAAGTATGCTTTATTTAACCACAAATACATTCATATCGGATAATTACACTGTTATCTCTTAGCATAGAACATCTTTTAAGCTGCATATGTGAGGTGAGTGTCTTATACCAAATGTGTGTGATGGAGGAATATTTAGAACCACCTAAAATCAGAAAGACATCAAACAGTTGTATTTATTCTGATAATACAGTATGTTACTCAAAGTTTAGTTTAAAATTTTCTTATGATTTATAAAAACCTTAACTTATGATTTACAAATACAAATAATTGATTATGAAGTAAACTCAAGAAGTTCAAGTCACCAATCATACAACTCATAATAAATAATTCAACCAAGCAGTTTCGTCAGTTCTGTATAATACCAAAGAATAATTGTACTACCCACCCATAAGATTTGTTTTAAAATAGTAGTAACTCTTCAGAAGACAAACCTTTTCCGGATAGTGGGCACCAGGTCCTGGTATCTGGGAGTGATTGTTGGGTAGCTGATACCGCGAACTTATGCTGTATGCAGGACTTCGAGAGCGGACTGCTTCAAATTTAACAGACTCGTAAGAACCAGGCCCAGGCACCAATACCTTGACATCACTTACTATCTTCTGTCGGCCCAAAATAGAAAATGCTGGTGCCGTTGTAATATTACTCTCTTTTGTGCCACTCAATGCTGAAGGTATGGTATAAACATTTGGGGCTGCAATCCCAGAAAATTAAGTGTCAAATTGTACACTAGATAAAGTTATATAAACTTTTATTATTACTTGTATTGTATAAATGATTAATAAATAGATTTAAGAAAAAATAAAATTTTTCTAAACAACACGTTTTAATATTAGTAATAACTGTAACCAGTCAACTACTAAAAAAAAATTTTTTGTCAAAAAAATAGTTTTCCTCAGGGTGATCTTCTCTGGCCTGCTGTTGAAGCCTCAGACTGATCGGGAGAAAAATTACCAAGTCCGAAGCTTTGGAGCT